CCTAGCAGTCAGGACCATCTTTCCACCCACTTTTTGGGCAACCCTCAGAAGATAGCAGCTGCTAAGTTAGGAGGGGGAAGAAGTGCACAGTGGAGGAGGAAAAGGATTATTTTTAAGAAAGAGCACAATCTAACTTTTCTCTCCACCACCCACTCTACACCACCTCCTCATTCCCTTGTCTCTCTTGCCTGTTCTTCCAGTTCACTTTTCTTCCCCAGCCTTTCTCTCCCCATTGCTCAGTGTACCACAATGTCACACACGTTTCCTTCTCTGTATCATCAGCTGGGACACCAGTCCTGACGCCACACCGAGAATAGCAGCTATGTATGGACTTGGAGCTGCTACTGAGCTCAGGGAGGGGATATGAAGCTAGCCAACTTCCTCCTTGGAGCTCCTGATGTATAAGAATCATACACTCATCCACTTTTTAGAAACCTTGTCTTGACACTAGAGTGATGAAGAAAATAAAAGGCATCTCTGTTCTAAGCTAAAAGAACCTGTTAATGATGTCATCTTCCTAATGTACCTAAATACTGGAAGATATCTGGATTGTTTCTTCTCAGAAATGCCTTTATTATTCAGTTCCATGCCTCTAAAGGAGTTTCCTGAGCTCTGTGTGGAACAGTGAGCACTTGAAGTGTGTATAATGAACCTATGTGCCCTGTGGATCAGTTTCTTCCATCACCTGTGGGTAACAAGCAACTCCAACACTCTTGGGAGTCATCTACCCAGACCAAAACACCACTTTGGCAATAACTGAAATAATGAGGCACTTCCCAAACTGGAACAATTAAAAGTATGGACCAGATTTTTACATGGGAAGGGAGAAAGGCAAGGCACAGAAAGAATGAAAGAGGATATGCAAGGCTTAAAAATAAGAAAATCAGATAGATCCTCATCTAGAATTTAGAACAATAAAAACAATGCTTATGTCTTTCCTCTTTAGTAATCCACTTAATTACTCTTCAATTAAGTACTTAATATATGTCATGCACTATGCTAGGGATCAGAAATAACAACTAAGAAGACAAGCCTGATCCTTGCTCTCATGGAGCTTACAGTCTAGCATTAGCTCAAGACAAAACTGTAGACTAACAAAAGTTACAAGCTGAAACATGTACCTTAAAGGAAATAAGGTGCTGAGAAAGAATAACAGTGGGGAACCTACATTATTATTTAGATAAGAGTAGTAAGACGGCCAAGCATGGTGGCACAGTGGCTCATACCTATAATCCCAGCAACTCAGGAAACAGAAAGCAGGAGGATCACAGAGGTCAGCTTTGGCAAAACAACAGTGAGACCATATTGCAACCAGAAAACTAGGCCTGGTGACACATGCCTGAAGTCTTAGCTATGTGGGAGACAGGAAGTAGGAGGATTGGGGGTCCAGGCCAGACCAGGCAAAAATGTGAGACTCTACCCAAAAAATAACTAGAGCAAAAAAGTGATAAGGTCATGGTGGTTCAAGTGGAACAGCACCTACCTACTAAGCAAGCATGAGGCCCTATGTTCAAACTCAAGTACTGCATTAAAAAAAAAAAAATAGTAAGAAAGACCTCTCTGAAGAAATAAAATTTGAAAGCTGGAAGACAAAGGAAGAGAAAAATCTAAACAGGACAGAACAGGGTAACTGCTTGTATGTGGAAAGGCCCTAAGGTAGGAAAGGTTTTGGTAAGGGACTAAAACGTCAATGCAACTATAATAAAGTGAGTAAAGGGATAACAGCACAATGCAGGACTAGAGAGACACCATGGGCCCTGGCCCAACTGATGTTGTACTACAAGGGCAATGGGAGTTTTCAGCTAAGGAATGTTGTGTCCTGATTCACATTTTACCATGATCAATATCATCTCCATGTGGAGACAAATGGAGAAGCAGACAAATGCTGCTTCAGTTGTCTAAGCAGGCAATGAAAGATCCCGAACCAAAATGTAGCAGCAAAACTGGAAAGGAGTAGACAAATTCAGACATCATTTAGAAGTGGAACTAACGGAAATCATTGAAGGGTTGCATATGGTTGTGGAAGCAAAGAATCAAAGACGACTCTCATCAAGTTGCTATTTATATATAAGTTGTGTGGCTTGCTTGGCAGAAAATATAATTACCACATACTGCACTGCTGGTAAGTGTAAGAATCTTCTCTATGGGACATGATATGTCTATAGATGTAAGTTCACCAAACATCCTAGATTCAAGAATAACAGCAACTATACCTGCTTGTTCTTGAGAGGCAATAATTGAATATGAGGAAGATAATTCATTGAGTTTTCTCATAAGAATTTTGTCATGTTAGTGCCAGAGTCATTTAATCAAAGGATTAAATGTCTTTCTCTATCTGGATACAATGATTCTGGATTGTAAAAACTGTACCACATAAAAATAGTCTCCATGAAGAGCAGCAGAGAAAATAATGGTAATTTGTAAGAGGAACTTCATGTCAAATTGGATGATTCATGTCAAATATCTCAAAGACATATTATAGTATCACTTACTGACCAGCAGAAAAAACTATAAAATATGAATTTTTAAGTACTATCCCTAGGATTCATTGAGAAATTTGGTCCTTAACAACTGTTTCTCCATAGAACATCGCAGAAATCTAGCACATGACAAAAAGCGGTTTTCCCCAGGAGACCTCTGAGAATTTGCCCTCAGAATCAGTCTCTACCAAGCGTGGTAGCTCATGCTTAAAATCCCAGTACTTCGGAGGAATAAATAGGAGAATCATGGTTCAAGGCCAGTGGGGGCAAAAAGTCCTCAAGATCCTATCTGAAAAATAACTAAAGAAAAAGGGTAGGAGCATAACACAGATTGTAGAGCACCTGCCTAGCAAGCACAAGGTCTTGAGTTCAAACCTCAATACTGAATAATAAAAAAAAAGAATGAATTGCCATGTTTATTTCATATTCTGTACTTAAACTGATCCTCCAAATGCCACAGAGAGCAACAATGTGCTGTGAATGACACATACTCAGGCGCAGTATCTCTCTAAACTGTTCATTCCTTTACCTATCTGAGTATTACTGACCCTATTTCCATTGCCCTTTCTGAAAAACTGGTGCATAGTTATCATCTCAAAATTCATTGATCCATCTGTCCAGGTAGCATCTCTCCTTCTTAATATAGTGATACACTCTTGTTCTTAAATTGCAGAATGAGAATGACTTATGAAGAGAGAGCTACAGAGAGAAAGAGAGATCTCACATGTGCCTTGGGTACAGCACCTCTTTGATACTGGCTCAAGCCTTGCCAAAAGCAGAGAGTAAACAGAGATAAGACACAGTAATGTATTTGGAGGGGATATTATCTCTTGTTCATCCAGACCACTAATTGTATCTTTTTATTCGACGTTCAAGGACTTTGCTCAAGATACACCCCATTATCTTAGGTGACACATCATGAAGGATCCCTTTCTGAAAGACATCCCCTGACATTCCAGTAAAAAGCATATAACTTCGGTCACCTGCCCTTTGTTTCCTTCCAAATGTCACTCTTTTGTGTGGAAAAGAACTTTATTAAAGTAAAGAAAGACAGAAAACCTGCACAGTGGGACTCAAAGACTGAGTCCCCAAGTCTCACATTTTTTCCAACACCTTTTTAGTTTAGTAGTCCCTCTTCAAACCTTTATCTTTAATTCAGTGGCCCATCTGTATCACTCCTCTTAGCATGGTAATAATTCTCTAGCTTCCAAAGCCACCTGTTCAGTTCCAATGGTGAGACTATAAAAGATTCACATCACTACACTTCACACCCTCTTTAATTTAAGTTTGTAAATTCACTTTTCAACACCCCTGTGCTGTTCATTCTAATTTGGACTGTCATCACTTGCAAGGACTGAACTTGATCTTTATCTGTGCCACCCATAATGCATTTTATTGCAGGGTCTGTATTTCTGCAACTGTAGCAAAGAGTGAAGAATGTACAGAGCTCTGCCAACATGAAAAGCTGTCACTGTGTAACTCCTGTTGGGGAAGCTTCCAAACTTGTCATGTGTTTCTACTGTACATATTCACTCTCACTTCAGTCTAAAGGCTACCCACCCATACAGGAAAATATTCTCCACATTAAAAGAAACAAAAAGCAAATATGCCTAAACGAATAGTCTACTCTATTATTTCAGTCCAGAGTACTCTTTGGTCTCCAGCTATTCTGTTCTTAGTAACATTTTAATACAATGCATAATATCTACTATGTTCAACATTTCAAGAGCTAAGTCTCCATTCTTCTGAGCTATCCAATGCTTCTCCACTACTCTTTTTAAAATCACTCCGATAATCCATAGGATATGATATGTCTATAGATATAAGAAATTCAAACATCCTAGATTCAAGAATAACAGAAACTGAGTATGACTGCTCTTGAAAGCCCCATGTAATGAAATATGAGGCAGATATTTCATTAAGTGAGTTTTCTCATAAGAATTTTATTGTCTAAGCATCAGACCATTCCATCACTTGAGTCTAGGGTGTTCTTTGGTCTCCTGCTATTCTGTTCTTAACATTTTATGTGATGCATGATTATCTATTATGTTCAACACTTCAAGAACACTTGAGTTCAATCTCCATAAATGTTACCTATAACTCTGACATTCAGAAAGATACATAAATATATGTGCACATATTCTCATCTGTTGAGACAGTTGGCCTCAACTGAGCCTGTTTCTAAGCAGAATCTATACAAGAACTTCTTTAAGAGTCTTCCAGTTACTGTTGATTACTGTGGTGAAGCATCATCTGTAACACTTTACCCTAGTTCACTGGTTAGAAGATAAAATACACAAGTATGCCTAAATTTTGTCAGATTTTTTTCCAATGAACTCGGAATCTTACATGACTTCCTAGATCAACCCCTGGCCCAGGAAAAACATCTCCACAGATGTTATCCTTCAGAGAGACCATCCCAGATGACTGCATCCTTCAACATTAGCCCCAAGATTCTAGAAAGTATCTATCCCAAGGATAGGGAGTGAGGCAGAAAGGCACTGAGCCCAGAGTACTCACTGAGAGGTTTGAGGATGCCACTGCTGGATTCATCAGCATTTTCCACATCTGATTTGTCAGAGTAGTTCTCAGAAATTCTTTCTTTTTCTTTCTTTTCTTTGTGCCCTGTCTTTCTCTTGTGACGTCTCCTTCTCCGGTAGCTCTTGGGCACATGGACCCCAATGTAGATGGTATGGTGGCCTAAGGAAGATACAAAAATCACCAGTCATTTCAAATCTTTGGTTTTCTGGGGGGTTTTTTTTGGCAGTTTTCAGGATTGAACTCAGAGTCTTGTACTTGCTAGGCAGGCACTGTATGTATCACTTGAGCCACATCCTAGTCCTTTTTCTTTTTTTAGTTTGTTTTCAGATAGGGTTTCACACTTTTGCCACGGCAGGTCTCAGACAGTAACCTTTCTAACTCTGCCTATAAAGGAGCTGTAGAAATTACAGATATGTACCACCAGGTCCGAACCCATCAAATCATATTATCTGTTATGTGCAAATCATGCAAGATCCATGGGTAGAAGAAAGGCCTATGAGTTCATAAGATTTGACAAACTCAAACTGGAAAAACAGAATTTCCTCCTAATATTCAGTTAGTTGCAGTGCAATTCATCCTGCTGTCTGGCATTAGAATTCTATGAGGGTATACTCTAGTTCCATCCAGATAGACTTCTTTTGTTTAGGAAAAACAAAGAACACCAAATTGGAAGTCAGGAATCCTTGATTCTAGCCACACCTCTGCCATCAATTAGCTATATAACCTTCAGCATGTTTCTTAACCACCCTGGGCCTCAACCTCATCATTTATATAATGAGAGCTTAAACTAGGTATTCCCTAGAAACCTTTCCTGTTCTAACTTTCCATAAGTCTGTGATTATATTGACTATAGTGCTAGAAAAGTAGCTATTGCAGCTACAAAAATAAAGATCTAATGCAAAGTTCAAAAAGTCATTTTGCTGGGGATAAGGTTTTACAGTATAACTTTTTTTTTTACCCAATCAGCAGAACAGAGACTTAGAACTGGGACAAACTGAGAAAATAAGACATACTTGGAGAGAAGATTTTAGAAATACTCAAATGTTCACACTAGGAAACAGCTAAAATGAATGTCAGCTACAGTGCCATTCTCATTTTTCTTTTTTCGTTTCCAAAAGTTTCTAAAAACTGGTTGTTGCAGTGATAAAAATAAACTCAGCCCAGCAAAAATTGCCTTGAAGAGAAGGGCATGAGGGAAAAGATTGTGAGATGCTTTCAGTTCTCTAGATGGAAGGAGCTGCAAAACTGACAAGTGGTATTATTTTTACAAAATCTGGTAAGAAAAAAAAAAAGGAACTCAAAGTTCCAAATCTTTTTTTAATTGGGAAACTTTTACTTTCACTTTATATACAGAATAACTTCTGAATGTGGGCATCATCATTTCAGAAGTAATATGAACACTTTTAAAATTGCAAATTAGATTAGATTACCTCTTCTATGGCTTTCATTTCCCATTTCTGGAATTATTCCTTGATGACACATTACAATACCAAAGTTAATATCACATACCACAATGTGATTCACATATACAGTATTGTGATATCAATTACTATGGACTACTTTCCATGTAACTATCAGGCACATCTAAAAACACAATAATTCACAGGGGTATTTCCTTAAACTGGTCGGGTTAAAAGAATTATAAGGTGCTTCAAGAAACAGATTCCAACTAAGGGATGGAGAACCCTAAGTGAATGGTGCAGCATGCAAAAGAAAATACCTGATGCGTGGATTGAAGATGGAGACATCTTTATAGGAAGCAGAACCCCCACCCCCACCACACACATGCACACACATACACTACAGTACAGAAACACATAGCAACTTGCTACTACAAAGCAGTGAAACTCTCCCGACAGAATGTGTGCCAATGAGAAATTTATCATGTCTAGCCATTTGTAAGAAAATTGTTCTCATGGGAAAGCTATATTATACTAGGAAATAGGAAATGTCTCAGAAACAATGTGAATTAAGAAACAGTGTCAATTGTTTCCTGAGCTCCAGATACTGAAGGAGTCCAGTGGCTTTATCTCAAGTCTCAACAATACATGTGAGCAAAGCCAACCAATTTCTCCAGTAAATCAAACATTGAAAGCTTGGTTGCCTTCATTCAGGAATTAACATTATACACACACACTCACAAGTGGTAGGAAATTTTCTTTAAAAAAATTTTTTAAAACTTGTCACATTAAATATTTTCTACAACTTAATAATGGCAAACAAGCAAAAACAGGTAACTAAGCTACAGTAGTCATACCGATGTTACACAGAAAGATTTAATGTATTAACCCAAAATTATGCAGTACATTTGATCAAGTCATTTAAAAGACAGTCTCTATGGGCTGGCAGAATTTTAAGGTAAGATTTCTACCTTTGAGTATTTTTATCAACCTGATAGGAGAGTTACAATGATTCTGAGAGTGAGCTTTCCAGCTCTAGAGAAAAATGTGCCTTAGCCTCAGGATTCTAGTTTGAGTTGTCATCATCACAGAAATGGTGCCATTTAGGGGCTTTGTGACCATAGGCACCCTCCCTGTGGCAGATCCAGTTTGTCCCACCTCCTAACTCTTCCTCCCACGCTCTCCAGGCTCATATTCACAGGTGGGGAAGTTTTTAGATAGAATGCTACATTCCAAGGTGCTATGGTGCCCAAATAATAAAGCTGAAATGGGAGTTCCTTTAGATACATCCCAAATTTCAGGCACATTTATCAGTTTATTGAGGTATAATTTACAAAAAAATAAAATTCACTCATCTTAAAAGTGTACATCAATGATTGTGGTATATTTACAGAGTTGTACAACCATCACCGCAATCCAGGTTTAGAAAGTTTCCACTAATTCAAAGAGATCCTTCATACCCATTTGCAGTCACTCTCTGTTCATACTCCTGTTCCACGTACGTACCCATTCTTAGACATCTTTTATACTCTTAGTTTTAGCCTCTGAGAGCCATAATTCTCTAGTACTCACATAGCTATAAATTTTTATGGGGATCCTCACAGCATGAGAAGTAAAGTATTCCTGATAATGAAGATATTGGTTTCCAGGCACCACCAGAGAAGATCATGGCACAGAGCTGAGCAACTCAAACCTCATATCCTCCTCCTCCTCCTCCTCCTCCTCCTCTTCCTCCTCCTCTTCCTCCTTTCCCTCCCACATATTATTGGCTACTAAATTTTCCCTTTTAGTTTTGTGTTCAGGTAGAAGAGATGGAATATGGTTCTGGGATTAAGCAGACCATGTGGGCCTCAGGGCCAATGCTTGCTGCTTCATCAATTACTTCTTAACCTCTCTCTACTTCAGCTTTGCTCATGAGAGGAAAAAGCAGGACTGCCTGACTTTGGTAGGTGGGGATGATGCAGGCATGATTCCTGAAAGTGATGACCAAATATTTAATAAGCTGCATGTGTTAAGTAACAAAAATACCAAAAGTATTTTCGGTAAACATTCTTACTGCCCACAGAATACCTGTCTTCACAATCAGTAGCATCAGTATTACTGTTCAAAAAATGCTACTGTTGCTGAGAATATCATAGGTGGATTTCAGTATTTATTTTCATTAATGTATCTTTGCCTGTCTCGGAGCTATGTTATGAAAATTGATAGCTATTTTTAAATTATAGCTCACAAAATGACTGCAAGCTCTAGATAGGGGAGGAGAACACAAAGGTTGAGGGTGTCATATTGTTTTGCATATAAAAAGAAAAGGAGAAACTTGACAAGCTTTCAAGCCCCACAACACAAAAAAGTAAGATGCTCAAAGAATCAGGAACAGTTACCTGCTTATTAAAAGGGAATTTTTAGGCTCAAAAAAATCTCTACTAGAAATTATCTGCTTACAAAGGTAAGAAAAAAGAAAAAGGCTTTAAAAATTAGCTATAGTTCACAAGGAAGAAGTAATTGTTTAAAATGTTATTAAAGTTTGCATTCTTGTACATAAAACTATCAGAATCCACATTTGATGGTGTTGACTTAGGTGTACAAAGGGCACAGAACCCTCAATTTCCAGTAGCCCTACATGTCTTCCTCTGACAGATGGTGGAAATTCCCAAAAAACTTTAAATGTCTTGGGAATATCTCAAATCTATGTCAAAGCCAGTACTGCTGGGAAGAAAACATGGCTTTCATGGTTACCTCTAAATGTTAGAATAATCACCACGTAAATCTTGTCTCTCCCCATCTTCACTTGTTCTACCTTAGTTACAAACAGATAGCATTGTGAAGCTATCACGTCCAATTCTGAGATAGATCTAGCGGACTACATACCTCTGGTTATTGCTATAATGTTTCCAAGAAAACAGAGAACTCTTATACTTAGTAACTGTACTCATTCAAGTTAGGTGGCTTTCACAGATAGCCACTTTGCTGCCAAGGGTGATTCAGAACTTGGAAGAATCAAACAACCCCTCAAGCCAGCAAATTAAAAATTCACCAGTCAAATTAAAAATTCTATAGATGACTTGATGGTTAACAACATCTCCATATGTAAGATGGCTCTATTAGCTCCTTCCTGGGAAACATGTTAACTGTACATACAGATGACAGCAACCATTTAATGGATGCTTTTAAGCATACCAGTCACTTCTGGGTGTTTTATATATAGCAATTCATGCACTCCTGCAATTATTCCCATTGCACAGGTGTAGTAACCAAGTTTGGGGAGGTCAAGTATGGTACCACCAGCTAACCAAGTTACCTCTTCATGAAAATCCCATTGATAAATATCTCTCAGGAGTCATTATCAAGAAGAGCTGGGTGCCTCATCAAAGCTTTGATGGGAACTTTTCTCAATACTATATTTACTCTATAAATCTTATAACTAATTATGTTTCCTTCCTTCTGTTGAGTATAAGAAGGAGAAGTTACAAGTAGCAGGCCAACCTGGAGTGGGTATATAGTTTCACGGAATTTGTTTTATACACTAACCTCACTCTTTCCATATTTCAACTGTTATTTTCACTTCAACCTATGACTTCTTGGAAGAAGGCAGTATATAATTTTTTTAACTTGAGATTTTAATATTATGTTCTAGCTAAAGGATCACCAAAGGACAGGTAAAATCTTTGCCCAGGAATCTGTCTTTCCCCACTCCAGTCATCCTTATCCTCTTCCCCCAACCTTCCCCATATGTCTATAATGAAACCCTGAGGGATGTTC